GTGAGTGATTTTTGAGGACACCATGGCCGCTTTTAATAAACACGAAAACATTTTCCCTGGACACAGCACAGTAAGAGTTATCGGAAGGAGACTCTTTCTGACCAGCAGCAGTCGCTGGAGACTCGGAGCTGGCTGGAGCCAGGCCCTTCACACTCTCACACTCCAGGCTGTTAGTGACTGGCTGAATTTTTGCCCTGGAAGGTTCTCCCCTGGACCACACAGCCGCCTCTGCCCCAGACAGACTTCAGCACCAGCTCAGGAAACAGCACCCTCTCCAGTTTGGGATTTGGGGGGAAACTCCTGCGTAAACCCCAAGAGATGCTTTCTGGGTCCCCTTAGACCTGGGGCCTCGTAAACATGTCGCCCCCTTCCCGAGCAGGCTCTGCGGGGCCAGTGAGAACCAGGAACAGGATCTGAAAAGGCCACTTCTAGAAAATCCAGATGGGGAGGCGGAGCTACACCCACGCCTGGGAGCCGGCGTGGGACAGAAGAGCCCGGGAGGACTTCCCCTGCGGTGGTTACGGGAAGGCAGCTGCCCCACCAGTTCCAGGCATCTCCCCACGAGAATGGGGGCAGCAAGGCCCATGGGCCTGGGGTCCCCATCCTGAAAGTTTGGGGCACTCTCCTCTGCCCCCTGAACAGCCCGTGCCAGCCCGAGGACAAGCCTCTCCCCATCGGAGCCCGCATCTCACATTTCGCCTGAGATACCAGACTCAGAGCCCCACCGTCTTCGCCCTGCACCGGGAGTGGAGTCTTCACTCCTGGGTCCCTGCCCCTTCGCACAGAGCAGGCACTCCGACATTGGAGGGATGGACAAAGAATTCAGCCGCTTTGGCTGGCCACTCTTAGTTCATAGTCAGGTTCAAGCACCTTTGTTTCAGTTTTAATACTCAAATCCGCCAAGGATTCGATTTTCTTTCTTTTTCTTATAATTCCTACTGATCTTTGTCTAGCCCTTCAAGACTGAAGTCACTGCTCTGAACCAGCACTATCCAGTAGAACTTTCTGCGGTGATGACTGTGTTCTTATGTGCCCTCCAAAACAGTAGCCACGAGTCACGTGTGGGCTCCTGAGCCCTCGAAATGTGGCTCGTATGAACGAAGCGCTGAATTCTTCATTTCCTTTGGTCGTGATTAATTTTACTTTAAACAGTCATACACCTGGCTATGGGCGACGCATTGGCAGGACAGCGGGGACGCCCAGCTTGTCCTTTCCGCGATCGGCCTGAATGCACACAGAGGGCGCTGTGCTCCCTGTGGGTCCGAACTGCCTCCTGCCGCACACTGAGCCTGCCCCGACGAACCCCGACAAAGCGGACAGCCGCGCCTCTTCCATCTCCAAGCACTTGCCCTGTGCGTGAGCGCAGCCGTCTTGCTGTGTCCCAGCAAACTGGCAGGAAGGAGGTCGCCAGAACAGAAACCAGGGCACCCAACCAACTCCAGCGCGTCTGGGGCAGAGAAGAGCGGAGAGTGTCAAAGACGCCCCCTCTGGGGGCTGGACGCCGGCCGGACGGCATTTGTTTGTATCGCGGTGCGTCAGAGCTGTCTGCCCTGCAGCTGCGGAACCCGTCCATGTCTGGGGGGGGGGGGCACTGAAACCGGCTCTGTCCACGCTCCCTGGCACCGACTGCTGCTGTTCCAAGACTGCAAGAAGATGGGGGGCTGTGGGTGGGCGGGGTACAGGAGAGGAAGCTGTCCCTGTGCAGGCAGATGCTGCAAAGGAGGAAATGGGGTCACCATCATGGCTGCATCCAAACTGACACAGCGGATGTCTGTAACACTGCCCACCTGGTCAGGGGGCACCCCCACTGCCTAGAGCATGGTGGTGGCCCAGGGGCCGCTCAAGCCAACCAGGTGGAGAGAGCAGGGGCCTGGGGCTCTGCTCTCAACGCACTCTGAGTGCAGAAGCTGGCTCGGTGCCTGGGGCTCGGAAAAAGCCAGGTCACACCCCTTCTCTTACAGAGGCTTAGGCCCTCCTGATCGGTGACAGGTTTCAAAGACCTGATGGGAATTCACAGGTATGGAATTGAAGAAGTGGGGCTGGTTCCAGCAGAACACACACACACACACACACACACACACACGTGCCTTTCGATATGCGCCCAGGGCCCCTCACCACCACAAGCTCTCACCTCTGCGCCTGTGCGGCCTGCACTGACCCTGGTGCTGGAGCCTTGCCCCTGCCCCTCCAGCATGGCCCCTCCCTCCCTCACCCTGCACACAGCAAGCACTTCACCAAAGCAAATTCATTCAACCACTAATACTGAATTAAGAAGCTATGGAGTGATTTCCTGTCAAGAAGGAAGGCACCGAATACAAGGCTTAACATTTTTGCCTTCTTTATTGTTCCTTTTCATGTCTATTGCCTTCCTCTCTCGCCCATGCTGACTATTTGTGATCTTTTTAAGTCTCCTTCTGCAGGATACTAGGCTTGTCCATTGCTCTGGGGCAGCCCTTTGGTAAAATCACTCCAAATCTCCAGGGACCATGTGAGTTAATTCACTTCTCTAGAGTACACACTCTCTCTTCTCTGGCACTTTGGAAATGCACAGAAAACGACTTAAAGCCTCCCTTCCTCTCTGACCCAGCAATTCTAAGCCCAGGAATTCATTTGGAGGAAATAATTAAGGATGCTGCCAAGCTTCAGGTGCAAGGTGAAAAGAGGAGATGGTGGAGATTTCTCATTTCCAAGGCCACAGCCCACCAAGGTGGACAGCAGAATCCACAGAAAACCATGTTCAAGGCGTGAGATGAAGACTATGTGGAGGAAGGAAGAAGAGAGGAAGAAGGATAAGGAGGGAAATACTTGGAACAAGAGGACAGAAATCAAGGAGATGAGCCAAACTAAGATCAGGGTAGGGTGGGGAGGGGAAGGAAAACGTTGCTTTCAAAAGGTTTCCGTGTTGGTTTGGGACAAGCACTCCGGTACAAAGAGTGGCGCACTCCGTGTCAGAAGCAAACAGGGCACCTTTGCGGCCAGCAGCCTGGCCCAGGACGGGTTCCTACCGACCCCTGAAATATCTGTCCCACATCTCCAGGGGCACCAGAGCCACGCACCTGAGCATTACCGCCCAGTGCCACCTCTGCTCTGCCATTTACCCGGTGCCGACCTGAGAGCCAGGCTGTCTTTTCCTGCACTTGTCAAATGTATTCATCATCCCCTTTTTAAAAGGAAGCAGGCTCCACTCTCTCCCCAAGTCAGAGATCAGCCCTCGCCGGTCTCCCTCCCGTGGGCTTACACCGGTGGCCCATCCAAATCCAGGTGACAGGGTCTTAACCGAGTCAAGTAAAGAGCTTAAAGAGCTCGCAGGGCACAAGCCCGCACAGCTGCGGGTCCCACGCAATGCCCCGGGGCCACCGCCTGCATCTCCACCTGAGCCCCCTAAGCAGAGAAGCCCTTCTGTTTTTGACAGCTCTCTCCACATGCCTCGGGCGAAGATCACACAGTCCGGGAGTCCAGCACAGTACCCCGCGGTGTGCTCTCCAGCTGCTTCCGCCCAGATGGCGTCCTCTACCACCTCCCAAGCCCCTGGTGTGGACTCTGAGTGTGGAGGAGGTACTCAGCCTGCTTCGCTTTATAAAGGGATTACTGGCAAGTGCCAGGAAAGACCGCCTGGCCTTAAACTCAGCACCTGGGGCAGATGGTGAGGAGGGAGATGGGAAACCAGACAGGAGCCACACGAGGTTCTCCTGGAGGCAGCTCTGCAAACAGCACGAGGGTTAAAGGACTGGCTGGTCACGGAGTCCCCACCTTTCCAGGAATTCGTGAGCACTTGATCTGCAAAGCCGCTCTTTTCCACCAGCCTCTGTCCAAACCCGGAGCAGTGGCTGTCTGGCAGAACTACACACTGAGAGTGCAGACATCACTGACCTTGCCCTTCCAGCCCACAACCCTGAAGGATGCTCACACCGGTGACCACACAATAAAGAGTCCCCTGGGCCCCCACTGGGCCACGACCTTGAGGAAGGGAACTCTCCATGGGCCTAACTTTTTGATGAAGAGGTGACTGAGTGGCTGTTTTGTTCCCACTTGTGCAAGGAAAAGGGCCAAGGAGGGACCAACCTCTCCTCCGTGCATCTCCTTGGGCTGCACACTCAAGCTCTGCATCCCTGAGCTGATGAGAGTTCCCCACCCCCTGGGGCCCTCAGTAGGGCTACCGGACTGCTGACCTCTGAAGACCACATCCCTCTAAGGCTTCTGGTGCTTGTGTCCAGGTTAGATGACCCACAGAAATGAGACCTAGGCTATGAGAGAAATCACGCACCAGCCCCCCCCCCCCCCCCCCCGTCCTTGTCACCTGGGCTCCTGGACCATCCTCCTTTCCTGCATCCCAGACCCTCTCAGCTCACTTTGGCAACGGACTTTGTAAGGGAGGAAGGGGGCCTCTGGGCTCGGATATGTCCCTGGGGTACCAGACACTCAGGACTCTGGGGACCCCTACATGCCCCGCAACCTCCCACCAAAGCTGCACACACAGCCTATTCTCACACCCGGGGTCACTCTGCTTCCTCTGCGCGGTGGCGCGGGACAGGCTTGAAGCCAGGGAAAGGTGGGTGGGGGGTCACTAGGAGTTCCCCGAAATTGTGGAATCTGCATCTCCAATGCCCTGTCCGCCCGGCCCTGCGGCGTTCGGGATGCAAGCCCGGCCAGCGGCGGGCCGAGGAGCCAAGTTACTGTGCGACCCAGAGAGTTAAGCTGAGTCTGGCCGGGAGGCCGAGGGCCGCTCTCCCCGCACACTCCAGGCTGGGACCCCGAGGAAGCGCCCGGCCCGGCCCCCTCCACCTCCGGGCGCCACCCGGGGCGTCTGGAGGACCCGGGACCCGCGCCCGCCCTCCCTCCTTCCCCGCCTTTCCTCCGCGACCGCGCTGCGCGCAGCGGAGACATTTAAATCGCCCCCTCGGGACGGCGGCGTGGAAAAGGCCGGAAAGGCGGCGGCCGGCCGGGGAACTGAGGCCCGCGCGGCGGCCGGGCAGGGGTCGGGGAGCGGCGAGGACACTCACCAGCGCGTGTTGTCGTGGAAATGCTCCAGCACCGCGTAGCCGAAGAAGGAACCGGCGGGACCCTGGAACCGCACGGGGCGCTGCGGGTCCAGGTTGTAGGCGCCCGCGGGGGTCCCCGCGGCCACCAGCGCCAGGAGCAGCGCGCGGAGCCCCCCGGCGCCCCTCCGCGTCGCCGGGCCGCCCATCCCCAGCCGGCCGCCGCCCTCCCTGTGCCCCGCGAGCAGGGCGCTGAGCGCGCCGGCGGCGGGGTCCGCCGACGGCCGGGAGGCTCCCGGGGGTGGGAGCTGTGCGCTCCGACGCAAGCGTGCAGCGGTGCCGGGCCGGGGACAAAGGGCCGAGCGGGCGCGGGAGGCGAGCACAGCGGCGGCCCCGAGCGGGCGGCGTCCTCCGTCCGGCCGGCCGAGGAGTCTGAGCGCTCGCGGCGAGCGGGGCCGGGGCCGGGCGGCTCTGGACTGCGGAGTGGCGCGCCCGCGAGGTGGGCGGCCGGGGCAGCGGGACGGCGCGGCAGCGCCCCCTGCGGGCCGCGAGCCCGCCGCGCACCTCCGGGCCGGAGATGGCCTGGGCCGCCGCCCGGCGCCTCTGGCTGCCCTACCTCCCCACCGCGCGCCCAGGGCGCTCTGGTCGGGAGGCGACCTTAATCCCCTCCGCAGCCGCGGGCTCTGCACGCCCTCCTGGATCTCTGTCGGGGTCTCCCCCTCCCTCTCACTCTCAACACCAAGGCCAAAGGGAGCCGGGGAAAGGACAGAGCTTTGCCCATCCGCTGCCCCTTTCCCCAGCTGTGAGAGGCAAGCGCTCCATAAATGACAGCTGTTAGTAATAACAGCAGTAGCCACGCGGGAGTGAGCAGAGCAGCCCCCACACCGGTTGTTATACTCACCTGTCTCCTACACCACTGATCCCTAACTGTGGCGCCACGCCAGCCGCAGCTTCACCTGAGAACTTGCTAGAAACGCAGATCCGTAGGTCCCTCTCCAAACCTGCTGAATCAGAAGCCCTGCGGGTTGCACCCCCCTCCCCCCGCCCCGAAGTTGAGGGGGTGGTGTTAGATTTCAACAAGTTCTTAAAAGGTAAGGTTGTTGGGGAAAGGTTAGGACCCACTGATCTAAGACACACATTTCAATCTCCGTAAACTAAATCCTAGAAGTGACATTAGGTGAGAATTGTAGCCCTAGTCTTTGATTTAACCAAACAGACGCTCCCAAACCCGGCCGTAGATCAGATCCTCAAGCAATCACTGAAAAATACAGATTCACGAGCTCCCCCCTGGGCCAGAGTCTTTAAGGGAGAGAGAGGCCCAGGAATCGGTTTGTCAGACAAGTACAGGAGACTGACTGCGCAGCGGGATCCGGGAGGCGCTGCCCTCCCCGAGATTCCGAGCTTTGCCTCGTGCTCCCGCGCTGCCACACCTTGTGTGGCAGCGAAAACTCGGGATTCAGCCTCCCATGAAAAGGATTTAATTCCCAGGTCTTGGGAAGTCCAGGAAACAGTGACGCTAACAAACAAATAAACTTGTTGATGGGCTTCTTGGGACAGCATTTTCTGTCAAATCCTCAACATTGGTGAGTCATTCGGATCATCAGACATCAAGAGTGAGCTCCGTTTCCCAGGTGCCAGGATAAGCTTTCCTACGGAGACTTGACCTGAAGTGTGTGTCTCCAGAATGACCAGCTGGGGGCACGTAGTCATTCCAACCTGGCCGTCCAGGATGCAGAGCCGCTTGGGGGCGGGGGGGGGGGCGTACCTTTGGGGGGGAAAAAAAAAAACGAACCTGTTGTCCAGTTTTCTAACTGAAATGACAACCCACTGCTCTTTCTCCCTTTATTCTCTCACTTCGAGAACCCACCGGGAGGTTTTATATTAACCCGGGTGGTTGCAGATTGAACAATATGCCACATCAGCTCACCCATCGCTTGTCTTGCACAGAATCCGAAGTCAGTTTCCCTACAGCAAACCTGACTTCCTTCCCCGGGGCAGATGATGGATGAGAGCATCCTCGTCATAATGATGCAAAAGAAGTAACAGTTTTGCCCTCACTCCCTCCCCACCCCACCGCACAGAGGAATACTGAGTAAATGTCCCACAGAAACAGTGTTGCTTTTTCATAAGCTTTGAAAAAGTCTTTAAGATTAACTGCTGTACTTTTTTCCTTCCTGAACCAACTTTTTTTTCATATAAACTCATAAGTTTTTGTCTGCCTCTAGTTATTTCCTAACTGCTTACCCACCAGGTCAAAACTAGGTACATTTCTAAGGTTCTTAATACAAGCAGCCTGGCTCAGTAATCTTTATGTTTAGGATATCATCTTTCATTTCCAGAACCCCAGATTATAACAGAAAATAGCACACAGTTCTTCCAGAACTAAAACGCTAGCCCCAGCTGGTGTGGCTCAGTGGATTCAGTGCTGGCCTGCAGACCAAAGTAGTCAGTGGTTCAATTCCCAGTCAGGGCACATGCCTGGGTTGCAGGCCAGGTCCCCAGTAGAGTGCATGACAACCACACATTATTTCTCTCCCTCCCATTCTCCCTCCCTTCCCCTCTCTCTAAAAATAAATAACATCTTTTTTTTTTTTTTAAAGGAGGGTGGGACTTCGTAGATGTGATTAAGTTCAGGATCTGGAATTGGGGAGATGACCTTGAAATGCCCAGGTGAATCCAATGAAATCGCAAGTGTCCTTACAGGAGACAAAAGACAGTGACAGAGCCCAAGAAGAGGCACCAGCTGCGGCTTGGGCAGAACCACGTGACCACCTAGCAGGGCCGCAGGCAGCTCCATGGCCTGGCAGAGTTGGCAAGGGAAAGGATGCTGCAGAAAGAACTCGGAGGCTCAACGAGGAACGCAGCCTCGCTGAGCCATTTTACACTCCTGGCCACCAAAACTATAAGACGATCAGTCTGAGTCATGCTCAGCCACTAGTTTTGTGGCAATTTGTTACCAGACCAATGAGACATTAATACAGCACTGTAGGAGTGTATCAGCCTGGGTAAGATTTTTAGAACTTTTTCCACTTTAGAATCGTGAATCTCCCCTCCCACTCCCATCCGCACTCTCTCCTTTTTTAAAAAATTTATTTGTTTATTTTTAGAGGGGAAGGGAGAGAGAAAGAGGAAGAGAAACATCAATGTGTGGCTCCGTCTCACACACTCTCCACTGGGGACCCAACCCAGGCATGTGCCCTGACTGGGAATCAAACCAGCAACCCTCCAGTTCACAGGCTGGCACCCAATCCACTGAGCCACACCAGCTGGGGCCCATCCTTACTTTCTACACGAGAAGAATAAGGCACAGAGAAGTTAAGCAAAGTAGAGATATTAATAATAACATGCTCATACATTTTCTATAATGATTAAATAAGATAAAGCATATGCATATATATATATGTATATCACAACACAGCGTGTGGTACATAGGAAATATTTTGTAAATATTAACTATTTCTCATCCATTCTTTAGACTATATACTGGGAAATTTCTTCGGCTCTATTTTCCAGTTCTCTAATTCTCTCTTCAGTTGCGTATAGTCTCTCGCAATATGATGTCTTTGAATTTGTAGTTTTTGTTACTTACATTTTTTCATCTAAAAAATTCTAGGTGCTTCTTCTTTTTAAAAAACTGCCTGGTTTATTTTCATAGAGTCTTACTCTGTACTCATATTTCCACCATCTTCCTTGCTGTCTTCAAGTAAATTACACTTGTTTATTTTATGTTCAGTCTCGGTAACTCTAATGTCCACAGTCTGTACATTCACTCCTGCAGTTTGCAGCCTCTGCTGACTGTCTCTCAACAGTGGCTTGTTCCCTGTGTGTTATGTAATCTTTGGCTGTGAGTTCATGTTTCTTGGAAATTTATCTTTGTTTAGAATATGTTTCTAGACAAATGATTTGTGTTTACAACTGCCGATTGCCTGAGGCGCTGCTGCCTCACCGACACTTTCACCTAAATTTCTGGCTGTTTTCTTTCTGCTCACATGTAGTACAGCACAGATTTACAGTTCAGTGTTCTCAGGGGATGGGTTTTCCTTTTTTTTTTTTTTTTAAATTCCACTAATAGCCAAGGAGGCCAAGACAAGAAAGACTCCTTCCAATGTCTCTCTGGGGGGCAGGTGCTATCCTCCTTCACCCACTAAAGAGGTTCAGCTTTGTGCAACCTGTCCAGTCTGTCTACACCCAGGCCTGAGTCCCAGACTCTGCCTGGTGTCCCCTGCACGGTGGACAGCCACCTGAATCCAGACATGCCCAAGGTGAATGCTGACGTCAACACTTGCTTTTTCTCCTGGATAAGAGCTTTTCTTTTTATTTCTCCTGGCCTCTGAGCATTTACTTTATTTCTTGCCAGCTTCAAAATCCATTATTCATTTTGATTTTTTTTTTCAGCCATTTTAGGTGTTTAGAACCAGGAACGATGCCCAGATAGCTGGTCATTTATTTTACCGCATGGCCAGAAAGAAATCCTCGCTAATTTTTAAGTCCCCGAACAACCTAATCACGCTGGGCACACTTTATCCTTCTAGGAGGTTTGATGTTGTTGCAAACCCTTAAAGAAGAGCCAGGGCAAGTGTGGGGCCCTGGGCGGGCAGTCTGACGTGAGAATAGCCCTTGGACACCTAGTCAAGAGCCTTTGGAACGAAAGGGCTTCCTGAGCATCTTCACTCCTCATTGCCCGGGATCAGCTGTGGCAGGACTTTCACAGGTGGACCAAGAGTTTGACGGTAAAGCCCTTTATCTGTTTGCTTGCTTATTTATTTACTTCCTCACCTGTATTTGACTTATTCCCTAGTTTAATCTTTTTCAAAAAGAAGAAGCTTTAAAGAAAAAGAAGTCTCCCCTCCCCTCCTTTTCTCTGCTATTCCCCGAGACAACCACCACAGCTGTTTCTCAACAAGCTTTCAGAAACATTTTGTGAGTATTCAAGTGGAGGGCTTCTTTGTACACACGTTAGCATACCCCACATATTGTAAGCTTAGCAGTGAGTGAGGCATGCTCCATGTTGACGCGACTCATGTTTCCAATGGCTGCGTGAGTTTCCATCACACGGATGGACGAGAGCTGATTGGACAACCAGCCCCCCCGCCATCCGCACTCCAGGTTGGGAGACATCGTTGACTGTTAGAAGTAATGCTGCTGGAAACAGTCCATGCTGGCACCTACATCTCGTCACCGTGGGTAAGTATTTCTGTAAAATAAATTCCTAAAATTGGAATTCCTTAGTCAAAGAGAATGCACATTTTCATTGTTATGGCCATCCCTAAACCGCCCTGAGAGGAAGTCAAGTCCATTTATAGGTCCAATAGCGTGTATGAGAATGCTTGCTTCTAAGGGCTCTTTTTAAAATCGTTTCACTTACAGTTGACATTCGATACTATATTAGTTTCAAGTGTACGACATAGTGGTTAGATATTTATGTAACTTACAGAGTGCTCCCCCATAGTGCCCCCTCCGTGGTTACTACATGCCTTCTGCTG